TAGAGACGGGGTTTCACCATGTTGACCAGGATGGTCTCGATCTCTTGACCTCGTGATCCACCCGCCTCGGCCTCCCACAGTGCTGGGATTACAGGCTTGAGCCACCGCGCCCGGCCCACTATTTCCTTTTGCTATTTGTTCTAAGAATCCTACGTTACATATACATGGATGTTTATGTAATATACACACATACACGTGCACACCTATAGGCTATATAATATATATATATATATATATATCACAATGTTGTCTTTCTTTTCCTAAAATCAAATTAGTGAAGCCTTCAAGGTGAGTCTGCTGTGAGGACGAAATGTACCCAGGACCTGGCACACTGCCTGACATAAAGCTCCCAGTGACGGCTGGCTGTGTCGGCCACAAATGTCTTAGCCCGAGTTTCACTGGAGTGGGTGGTGGAGGTCACGGCACTGCCTGTCACCATCATGTCTGTTCCTCCAAAGGCAAAGTCCAGAGGGAATGAGTCGCTAGCGGGAAACTAAGGAAGCTCTTCCCTGGGATCCAACACTGTGGCCCTCTTTATCCTTGGCCTAAATTCTCTGAGAATGAGTGAATCTGGTGCACTCACTCTTAGGAATCACTTTTCAAATGCTAGCAAGTATACGAACAATCAAACAATGACGATTCTGATCTATCCCGGATTGCGTCCCGATTCTTCCGTCTGCTGTCTGGAGGAAGCACCTGGCATGTCTGGGCACGGAGGGAGACCTGGCACCACACAGGAGTCTCCAAGGAGCAAAGAGGTCTCACCGCCTCCTGACTCCTTTCCCAGTGCCTCCCTCCCCCCGGGGCCACCTCCCCTCCCCGGGCACCCCCGGGATCTGCACCCTGACAGCCCTGTTGCCACACCTCTGACAAACAGGAAGGCGCTGTGGTCGCTGACGCCGCCCCGGGACACGATGCGCAGGGTGTACAGGCCCTCATCGTCCTTGTGCAGGTGGCTGAAGGACAGGGAGGCCTGGCCTTCTCCAAAGAACATCTTCGTCCACTTGGACTCCTTCACCAGCACGTCTGAAAGAGCGGTAACAGGAAGGTTTGCATCCGAAATCACCCCAGCAGGCAAAGAAAGCACCAGCGCCAGCTCACAGCGGGACAGGACAGTGGAGCCAGACACCACGAAAGCCACAGAGCCGGACCTGACCAGGTAAAATCCCAACTACACAGAAGCACAGGTGTGAATGGAGCAGCCACATCCCAGAACACGGGCTGCCACTGAGCAGGTAAAGGTGGGACGTGCTGTGAGCGGCCGCCAACTTTGTCCTCAGGTGAGCTGGGGGTTCACCTGGGGGCTCGCTGCTTCTCTGCTGGGCGGCCGCTGCCCCACCCGGCTTCTTCCTGCCCATGAAGGGATCACAGGGGTGTGCAACTAAAGGGGCTCACATCTCCAAAGATCCCAGCATAGACCCTCCGCATCATCAAATGCTAAAACAAAATGACTGGCAGGAAGAAGAGTAGTACTGAGGTAGCGTTTCTGTGTGGAGACAGCACGCGAGCTCCGGCCGGCCCCTTCCACGCAGCAACAGAGACGGCACGCGAGCTCCGGCCGGCCCCTTCCACGCAGTAATGTGCATCAAATGCAATCCACATCACACCAGGTCATTCTTTCTGTCATTGTACAAGCGGTCAGTCCCTAAGTGACTGCTCTAGATTCAGGATCTCCCTCTCCAGGATTCTCCTGGACGAGGTTCAAGGTCAATGATGGGCAGCCAGGTTCTCCGTGGTCCCTCACTTTGTCTGGAGCTGACCCGGCGGCAGAGAAGAAGGCCACACTGACACCCACATTTAGAGGACATTTCTACCCAAAACCTCCTGCTGTGCATCCGGGTCTGGGCCCTGTCCTACTCACCATCGCGGTACCACTCCGCGCGGGGCTGCACCCGCTTCAGGTCAGGCGTCACCAGCATGGTGCACTTGAGAGTGACCGTCTCGCCTTCTCTCCTGAAGGTGACCCCAAACTTCTCCAAAAACTGGACGTCGAAGTGCGTGTACGGAATCACCGATGACAGGGGCACTGCGCAGAAACAATGGAGACGCTCAGGGCCGAAGGGCAGGAGCATGTTTGACAGCAGGCACACTCAGGCTGCCACCACGGAAACACGTCTTTGTCACCATCACATGGCATGGAACACCCATGGCCGTGTCCATCCTCCAGATGGAATGTCTGTGTCCCCCAGAATTCCAGAGTTGAATCCCTGACCCTCAATGGGACAGTATGAGGAGGTGGGGCCTTTGGGAGGTGATGAGGGTGACATGAGGTCATGAGAGTGGGGACCCCAGGGCGGGGTGATGAGCGCCCTTGTAAAAGGAGGAAGAGGCCAGACCTTCCTCTCTTCCATGTGAGGAAGCCGTGAGCAGACGTCATCTGCAACCCAGAAGGAGGCTCCTCACCAGAGCCCATGCCTGCTGAGTCTCAGATTCTGCCTCCAGAACCGAGAGGGTCAATGCCTGCTGTCTATAAACTGCCCCTGCCATGACGTGCTGTTTCAGCAGCCGAAGCTGAGACAAGCCACTGCTGAAGAATTAAATGTCAAAAAGTCAATTTTGTGGTGTCGTTAGAGGCAGGGCTGAGAACCTGACTGCATGTGAAAAGTGAAGGTTGAAATAAATCCTACCTCAGCCTCAAGCTGTGGTTTCTGGCAAGCCACATGGACTTTGAGGCTACGGCTGCCTCATCTTCAAAACAAACGGTGGTATTTTCATCCGTATAGTTTCATTTAGAGTGCACCCAAATGGACTAACTGGGTCCAGAGGTGTCAGCCTAGTTACATTTCAAAAATATGTGTGGCAGGGGGAGAAGTACATACATGTCAGGCAAAAAAATCTATACTGAATTTTTAAAACCAAAAGAACTGTATGATTTACAGATTCATGCATGTAGGGGAGTTTAAACAACAGCTGCAGGCTGGTACGGTGGCTCATGCCTGTAATCCCAGCATTTTGGGAGGCCAAGGCGGGAGGTTCACTTGATCCCAGGAGTTCAAGACCAACCTAGACAATATGGTAAAATCTCATCTCTACCAAGTACAGAAAAATGAGCCAGGTTTGGTGACACACACCTGTAGTCCCAGCAACTTGGGAGGTTGAGGCGAAAAAATTCCTTGAGCCAGGAAGATGGAGGCTGCAGTGAGTCAAGATCTCACCACTGCACTCCAGCCTGGGCTACAGAGTGAGACCCTGCCTCAAAAACAAACATAAAATTAAAAAGCCCCTGCAAACATCAGGAGCGTGGTTTCCTCCTAAGGGTGTGGGAGATGGGCAGGAGCAGCACAGCGTGCTTAGAGTGGAGCGGCACAAAGTGCTTTCACCATCTCTGGGGTCGTTTCCATTCTTGGAAAATAATCAAAGCTGCCCTGAAATGTACACCGTAAAATGGTTAATTTTGTGTTATGTAAATTTGACTGCAATGAAAAACAACTGAAGCAAAATAGCAAGATATTTCCCTCTGTTAAACTCGGGTGGTGAAAGTATGAGTATTCTTACATGGTGATCTATGCTGCGCCACGGCTCTTCTTTAGGAGGATAACGTTTTAACAGACAGAAGAGGCCCGGGGATGGGACCAGGTGACCGCCAGGACCTGCCCAGCTCATCAGTGCCTGGGGCAACTCTCCACATGGACTCCATGCTGTCCCAAGGCCTGGGTCTACACACGGACGCCCAGATCTACCGGCCTCCCCAGGCTCACCTTGTCCTGGTCCCTACCTGCCCTTTGGTGGTCTTGGAAGCTCACTGAGTGTTGAACACAGCACAGCAATAAAATTCACACAGAAATAGCAGGCAGAGGCCATGCCCAGAGAGGCCAGCAGCTGCCAGAAGGCTCCTCTCTCCATCCTCACTTTGGTCAACTCTCCACTCCCAGCACGTGGCCTGGAGCATCTAAGCCTCACATTACAGTAAAATCAGTGCTTCCATCAGAATATACAGTTCCTCTCTGGGAAGTTCAGGCCAATCTAAATCTCACTCCCAAGTCATAAATGAGCTGCAATGAAAGTGCATCCATCATGCCCCAGTCCTCAAGGTGCCCTCACGGGGACCTCCTCGACTCACCTGACATCGGTCACCCAGCACATGGGGCTGCTAGGATGAAGCCAGCCCGGGGCCAGAGAGGGCTTGGCCTCCTTTCAGCATTCCCAGGCCTGGGGAGGTTTCTGGCCCAAAGCCTGCTGCACTGCCCTCATTTTGACCTGAAGTCATTCGTTACAAGAACCAAGAGACTTTTGGAGAAAAAAAAGTATCCTGGCATGGCACAGTGGCTCATGCCTGTAATCCCAGCACTTTGGGAGGCCAAGGTGTGTAGATCACCTGAGGTCGGGAGTTGGAGAGAAGCCTGACCAACATGGAGAAACCCCTATCTCTATTAAAAATACAAAAATTAGCCAGGCGTGGTGGTGCATGCCTATAATCCCAGCTATTCAGGAGGCTGAGGCACACAAATCGCCTGCACCTGGGGGGCAGAGTTTGCAGTAAGCCAAGATGGTGCCATTGCACTCCAGCCTGGGAAACAAGAACAAAACTCCCTTTCAAAAAAAAAAAAAAAAAGTATCCTTAAACATGAAACACAGCCACATGATGCATTCAGGTCAAAATTCTGGACGTCTCTTTTTTTCCAATTCAAAAATGTAAAGTCTCTCCAAGTGATGTTTTCACCGGTCTAAAAATACCACCTAGCCATAGAATTGCATGGGAGCAAAGTGTCAGCACACTAACACTGGCCAGGAGAAACTTGGAAGCATTTTCTGAAATACAATTTTTGTAAATACAATTGGCCTTTGGGAAAGCTCTTTTTCAAATTGCACACTATGTCACTAAACACTTCACCGCACAAAAGGGAAACCAAAACCACTTACATCCAATCGGGAGTCCCACCGAATGGAATGGCTCCTCGTCCCCCCGGAACCCTGCAAGACAGCAGAGTGAGTGCAGCAAAGAGAGAGAAAAGGAGAGGGAGGGTGCCCGCGAGAGCCCACCTGGTACTCACTTCTCACCACCACCGCCGCGTTGGTGGACACTTGACCGTGGGCATTGGTCGCCACCGCCGAGTAGGTTGCGGTATCATCGAAGTCTGCCCTTTGAGAGAAAAGAACGAGAGAAAGTCTGCAGGACTGTTCTGTGAAAGTCAGTGACCCGAATTGCACAAAAACATTCCTCGAAAGCAAATCATATGACGTGGGTCATTTGTTCCCAAGTGATCTGTGCGAGAACAATGCCAACTCTGTCCTTGGAAAGGCGAGGTGGCACTCGGGATTAATTACAGACATGATGAAGGCCTGATCCCAGACGAGGGCGCAGCTTTGACTTTAAGAATAAAAAGGTACTGGCGCTTCTGAAAATCCTTTGTTCATTCTCAAGGAGTAGCTCAATTCCACTCTGGTCTTATTTTTCCACCTCTGTAGAATGCGGGGTTTCATCTTGTCCATGAACAGCCTCCTGTGACCTCAAGCTCCAACAGAACCACTCATGACGGGACAATACAGAGCCTGCCTGGGAGAGCCGCAGACCTGCTCCGTGTAGGAGCAAGAATGCTGCCACAGAAGAAGGCAGAGCCCTGCTTCAGGGATGCCCTGACCCATGGAGGGGAGTCCATCGCGTGCCAGTTCTAGGGGAGTCCCGGAGCTTCAGCTTTGCTCCACTCTCCCACGTGATCCTGGTGCACACCGGCATTGAAGAGCGGCACCTGAAATGCTCTCCTCCTGGTGCACACAGGCATTGAGGGGCTGCACCTGAAATGCTCTCCTCCTGGGGTGCACAGGCATTGAGGGGCTGCACCTGAAATGCTNCACAGGCATTGAGGGGCTGCACCTGAAATGCTCTCCTCCTGGGGTGCACAGGCATTGAGGGGCTGCACCTGAAATGCTGTCCTCCTGGGGGGCACAGGCATTGAGGGGCTGCACCTGAAATGCTCTCCACCTGGTGTGCACAGGCATTGAGGGGCTGCACCTGAAATGTTCTCCTCCTGGTATGCACAGGCATTGAGGGGCTGCACCTGGATGCTCTCTGCATGGTGCACACAGGCATTGAGGGGCTGCACCTGGATGCTCTCTGCATGGTGCACACAGGCATTGAGGGGCTGCACCTGAATGCGCTCCATCCTTTACTGCCCCTGAGATAAGAATCCCAGAATGAAGCCGCTGAGCACCCATCAAAGCCCTCAACGCGGCTTGTGCCTGGCACACACAAAGGGTTCCAAGGTGCAAATAGAGACTGATTAACTTCTAAGTGACAAACGCCCTGTTCCAAAAGCAGATTCTACAACCCCATCCAGCTCCCCAGTAAGATTCCCACGTTAATAAGAAGCAACATCCAGAATCCCAAAGTAATACGATCCCCAGACACGAATCACCCACTTAAGGGTGTACTGAAATGTCTGAATTGGACCCCACCTGAGACACTAATGTGTGTTTATCTCTGGGAAAAAAAAAAAAAAACATGACTTAGGAATAGGCAAAAGACCCCAGGCTTGCAAACCCAAGTCCCTATGGGGGTGGGTCTTCTGATTCCCCATACCCATGGTGCTAAAACTAAACCTGCTTTTCTTGGCTGTGAACTGTCTCCCCACCAGCTTCCCCAGGAAAAGGAGACAAGAGGGGTAAGGAAGAGGCGCTAAGATCCGCTGAGATTTTATCAGCACCGAGCCCTCTGCAGGTCACTTCACGTCAGCTGCTCCACGTTCATCCTCAAGTGGCCTGGAAAATAGACTCAATTATCCCACTAGGAGGGTGAGAAGTCAACACGGTAAGAAGCTAGGTATCAAGGTCCACGTGACTCCAGAACTGCATTCTTTCTGGTAGCTTCTCTCGCAGCCATGGACACCTGAGCAGAATCTTAATCTACGAAAAGAAACAACACAAAAAGCCCCCACTTTTGAGAAAAGCAAGAGTGACTCAAGTCTTACTTTTCAAACGCATTAAGAAGCCTATGCCTCCAGAGACAAAATTCATTCCTGGGAAACTATTAGTAATTTTATTTTCTTGTTCCACTAGGAGCTGAAAATATTTTCTTAGACCAAAAATTTCCATTTCTCCAACAAAAAGGGAAGGAAAGTGTCACAGACCCGTGCTATCTACCAAGAACTCCTTCCCCTCCTCCTGAACTTCAAATCCAGTTTCAGTGTGTCACAGAAAGCCATCTGTCCTCCCTAACTGCCACTGCTCAAGGGACAGATCACACAAGCAGAGCACAGGCCGGGTCGATTTACAAACTAAGAACATTATCTTCTAGTTCACCTTGGAGGGATACAAGGCGAACCACAAAGCCCATCAGCAAGGCTACGATTCTAGGCTGAACTCATTAGAAGCTACTCTGCTAAACAATTTCCAGATTCACCACAGGTACAGCCGTGTCCCCAGGGACAAAGTAACGGTGTGTGTAAAACACATAAAAGTCCTCCAAGTCGAGGCTTTCTCCAATGCCGAGCGTTAACAGCCTGTGCTGATCTACCGTATAACTCACGCATACACACGCCCATAGGGAGTGCAATGTGCCAGCGCCTCTCGAACACGCCTGGGACTGCGGCCCGGGTGGAAGGAGCATTGCTTGCATTTTGCTGTTTACTTTGTGATTGGGTTCTTTCTTCTAAATAATAAAACCATTATGTCTTCATAAATGCATTCTCCAAACACAGAGAGATTCTTCTTCTGGGATTCGCCCTAACGAGCCCTTCCTCTACAGCAATCCTGCCCCCACTAGCAATAACACAGAAGATGAGAGAAACAAGGGTGACAGCCTCCCACAGGCACAGCTGGAAGGATTCCAGTGCCAGCGTAGATGAAGTAGGCAAGGCGGTCTGTAAAAACTGCTTGATCGGAACTTGCTGAGGTGGAGCCTGTCCTGTGAACACACAAGCCAGGTGGACTCAGGCTCGCAAGGAGGGAGCCGTAAACCAGAGAAACGCAGAGCAGGTGCACGGGCAGTTCCCATGCTGGACGCACGGAACGTGACCCGGCTGGACCAGGGCATGGCTGTCCCCAGGCCCAGCAGGTCACCGTCATCACCAGTTCCTGAGTGAGGAGGGCTGAATGCCTTGACCCACCTGCGTCCTCCAAGAGCGGGAATGTGGACTACATGGACAGGGCTCCAATCAGTCCCCTGAATCCTGAGTCCTCCCCAGAGCCACCCTCAAAAACCCTGCGCTGCCTGTAACGTGACGGCGACGGTGTCCACACTGCGCTCCCTGCCTTCCAACTCGGCTCCCCCACGTGTGCTGCACATTTCTTATGTGTGTGTTTGAGCCGTTTTTAATCTGCGGTGTGTCTACTCAGCACATCATCCACCCATCAGGCCTCGAAGCCCAACACACGCTTCACAAGGCCACGTAACTCATGAGCACCAGGGCCTCAGGCAAAGCTTCTCCCACCACCTCTGTGGAATTGGATAATATTCTGAGATGCCAAGGTAAAAATGTTTCCATTTGCAACTACTTGTCTTTGTGATTCAGTTTTTTTTCAATATTGGGCAATAGAAAGAAATAAGAAGAAAATCTAGGGGGAAAACAGTTGCTGAGGCTCTTACACACCTGTAGCCGCCAGCCTCAGGTTCTCCTTCCAAATCTGTGCCTTCATGGGACCAGCCTGATCATTCTTCCCTACTGACTTATAATAAACACATCATGCATATTTTAAACTTCTAGAATACATGTATTGAGCACCCACACTTTACTAGGGTGACTTTGATGATTAAATGAAACAATGTATTTAAAAACACTTTGTAGTTTTATCGCATAATGTTAATCTTATACATCAGTAATTAACAGATATTAGCCGAATTCCTGAACCAAAGTTCAAAGAAGATTCCCTCGGGCCTCTCCTGCACGGAAACTCCTCCCTGCCCTTATAGTCTGATAAAGCAGTACAATTTCCAAGCGTTTTGAGAACTGGAGGCCGAGGCGGGTGGATCACAAGGTCAAGAGATCGAGACCATCCTGGTCAACATGGTGAAACCCCGTCTCTACTAAAAATACAAAAAATGAGCTGGGCATGGTGGTGCGT